TCAAGGCAGTTGCAGCAACCACTGGAACATGTGGGCCCTGGACTCTGGTGTGAGATGCATGTTGACATTTACAAATGGATAGGGGAGTCAGAAGTCAAGATTTTTTGAGTCACTTTATTGTGAGGAGGGATAGTCATTCTTTATTTTCAACCTTGAGTTAATCTGTAGCAAATTTATCGCTTTTCAGCTATTGGAAGGAAGGATTTCCTGTTTTGTTCTGTTCCTTTACTCAATATCTCTGACTGATACTGGTGTGTCGCATCTGTTCTTTTGTCTTCTGAAAGTGAAAGACAACAGAAGAAACTTCAGGTACTGTATTTTTTTGTTGAGCTAATATACAGATCTTCAGCTACAAATAGTTATGGTGCTTGTCAAAGCTGCAGGTCATCCACTTTCCCAAGGAAGCAATAGTACGGAATTAAGGCAACTCTTGACAGTTTTGCTGCTGCCTACAGGGTTTTGAATAACAGGAATGTAATTAATCAGCATTTTTGGTCCTCAAATCCAAGGCATAATATTATCTTCACTAGGAAGAAAGGTTTCGTTAATAATGGGTAAAATCCTAGTGTAGATATTTGGTTTGTAGTTTTAGCATGCGTTAGCTTGTCTAAACAGTGAGAGCGTAAAATCATGCCTACTTGTAAAAGCCATATATCTAATCAGTGAAGTGTGTAATCGCCAGATACAAAAATAAGACTAGAGCTTTGTAGCTCACCTTCTGACTCTAGTAGTAGTATCTTTTTTTTTTTTCTTCTCAGTTTAAATATAATTCTGTCTAGTTGCATCTGCAGTTTTCTTCAGAAATGCTACCTGCAATTTTTTTTCAGGCCATAGGTACCATCTCCTGTATATGATGGTATATCCAAGAACAATAGTTACCTGAACTGCAAGTAGACATTTCGGATTCCTAGAACAGGAATATCTTGCTCTGCTTTGCAATGCTGCCTAGAGGATGAGCTGTGGCCAGTTCTTCAAAAGTGTTCATAGCCTCCTATTAAAAACAGTGGAAGTTTGAAAAGCGTTCAGCAGCTAACGCAGGTTGGTGGAGGTGTGTAAAGTGCTCTGAAGAGCCATGGAAGAAGTCTCCAAAGGGCTTGTTCAAACCTATTGTTACCTTAATAAAATTTGGATCCAAACTCCTGTTAAAGTTCCATGTTCTGTATTTATACATGCAGTTGTGAGGACAGGTTGGTTTTTTAGACAGCTGAGTAATGTCTGCTTTGATACATTTAAATGTGAGGAGATTGAAACAGACCCGTTCTCAAAGGGCTTACCAGAGGAAATGTTATTGATTGATTGAGGTAGATTTTTTCACACATCAGTGACCAGCTTAGGGCCTTCCCTAGACGCGTTCTATGCCTGTCCCTTAAATTCTAATATATCTTTAAGCATGTGTTTTTTACAAAATGTTTGTATTATCCTACGTTAAGTTTGAGTCGAACCGTGTGTGGTGATCCCTGTTACAAGGGTGTCTCTTCTGCCCTCATCTGATCCCCGAATGCTGTGGAGGATAGGGGATTGAGTGTGGATTTCTGCTGGTTTTCATCTGTTTTCTCTCTACAGTGACTTAATTCTTGTTGCTCTATTGTGTCCATGTTGTAATGCCACAAAGTGGGAAGCGTAATAAAGTGTAATAAGCTTTTTCTGTATTTGTAGACACTGGCAAGGAAATAGGTGGTGACGCATCTCAGCAATTCAGTACGTGGGACTTTAGGCACTCTGGTGTTTGACTCTGACTTGATGCCCCAGAAACGCCTCTGGCCTTTTTGTAGGGTGGTTCTTGTACCTGTTACTGCAGAGCGCTTACTTGTGGCTCTGAACATAAATGCATTGAACTCTCAAGTTTGTTCAATTTTTTTATCTTGCCTGGATGTTAATTATTGGCGTTGAGGATCCTTTCGAAGTTGCTGTTCAGTTCTGGTTTGCAAGTAAATTATTTTCAGGCAGATAATCTCCATTTATGCACATGAGCTTTGCCGCAGCATGTCATCCTGTTGTGTAAAAAATACCTCTTAAAACTACAGTAGAAATAGAACAAAACGGCAAGTCGAAACATGAAGTAAAACATGCTAACCAGCACCCTTTGATATGTTTTTCCTTATGTTTACAAAAGGGAAAGCTTTTTGAATACTTCAGCTTCAAACTTTTGTTATAGGTTCACCTGCCTATAGGGCTGAGTGAAAGCCAGAAAGTCAAAACTGAATGCGGCAGGTAGAAAGGCGAAAGCAAAGGCAGCAATAGAAGCAATTCAGTCGCACCATAGACTGAACCTGCTCATTACAAAAGATTTTTGAGTCATTATGCAGAGAGGAAGTGTTAATCATGGCAGTGATAAAACTGAAAAAGGGGATAAAGGGCGTAGTTAGAAGAGACTTTGGCTGCAGAAAATCTATGTTTTGTTGCCATCAACCAACCTGTCAGCCAGTGGCTCGTTCCCTCTTGCACTCTCTACCCTATCCCCCAAGATCCCTCCATTTGTGTTTAACTTAGCATATGATGAGTCTTTGGCCCAGTCCTGAACCAACTTGGGTTTAAAAAAGCTAGAAGCTTCTTGGTGTTAGATATGATCATTGTCTAGGCCTGCATTAGAGGGCTAGGCAATGAAGACACTAAGCTCTGGAGATACAGAAAAAAATGGAAGACAAGCAACTGGCAACAAGAACTTTATTCTGTATTGCCATTCTGCTGGGGTTTTTTAACCCATCTTCATTAGGCTCCAGGATCTTGTTGTCTGCATGATAGTGGAAAAGGAGCTGCAAACTTTTCAAATTAAAACCAAACAGTATTCTCAGGGCAAGGCTGTAGTGCAGTGAGTGAATAAAGTGTTTGAGATGTTGGATCCATTACTCCTAGCAATGTTGTCATGTTTCCTTTCCCAGGTGGTTATCTTGCCTGGGCTTGGCTGTTCTGTGGTAGGTAAAGGTGTCCAATATAGTTGAAGGCATCATATCAAAACTTGGGTCTATAGATAGAGATAGTTGCGTTTTCGCTTCAGCTGGTTAAAGGTCCTGTCCCATTAACCTCCTGTGGCTGTTAGACATACTGGTTCTGCCAGCAGGAGCGTTATCTGCAAACATGTTTGGGCCGCTGAACTGCATAAACAGGTCAAGTTCTGGTGGCTGATTTCTACTGAAAAGGTTTAAGATTTAATGGCTTAAGATCACGTTTTTCTGTCTGACTGGCACCGCTGATCAAAAAAGGCTGGAGAAAGTAACCTCAGCTGCATAGATAGCTGCATCTTTACTTGCTGCAACTGCTTGCCATGGAAGTCTCTCTAGCCTGAACTATTACAGGGTTGTGTTTGAATTGTTACCCTTTCTTTGGCTGAAATGAAACAAAATGTTTCCTTTTTTTTCCAAATAAAAGCAAGGCAGAGGTGGAAGTTGAGATGAAGTTTAAAACCCTACTTTGCCCATACTGTCTTCTGCTGTAAGAGCTATAGAGCATATTGTGTTTTGAGGCATATTAATTCAAGTAATGTGAATCACTGGCCAGCTGTCTTTTATGAAATAACTTGTGGAAGTTTAAAGTTTGAGTCAAATTTTGAATGCATTCTTTTCATTAGATATTCATGTGTTTGGAAATGTGCCTCATCTCAGAATGATTCCTCTTCAATTTATATGGTCTTCTATTAGTTTGGTAGACTTTTCCTTTATCCAGAAATTTGATCAAGCAGAGTCCTGAACTCCACAATACTATAACTGGACAGCCCAGAGAGTCGTGGGTATTAATTGCTGCTAGCAGACATTATAACTCTTACAGACTTAAAGATTTAAATTGGAGTCGTGATTAACTATATTATAACCCTTTTTAATATTGTGGAATCTTAAACCTTCCCTTTTGAGTATAATCAATAAAACACATTTTTTTGTGGCATGCAATTTGAAATTAGAAGCATTTCCTTTTAAAGTGTAATATTTGGTCTCTTGGATGATTTAAATACTAAACTCCTGTTAAAGAAACAGTATAATTAGTTTATTTCAAACTTTGAGGTGATCTAATTGTGCCAGCCCAAAATTGTCACAGAGATTGTAAATCTGCAAATAATAGTAAAAGCTTTGAGTACTTAATACCAAGGTTTGTACTGACACTTACTGTGTACCAGAACTATGAAAGCTAATTCCAGGCAGTCTAGTCTTGGGGGGAAAAAAAAAAAGTCTCTTGCTCAACAGCCTTTAGAAAACAAACAAGTAGTTTTACTGTGCCTCTAAACACTGGTTTCACAGGTTCGAGGAAAGGTTACTTTGGCTTGCTGCATTTACTTTTTATGAATTCAGTAATTTATGTACTGAAATATGGTTTCAGCAGCTTTATGTAACTGCATAAGAGTAGGTTTAGAATAGATAGTAGACAAAGTATTATGTAGCAATCTTAATACAGAAGCCCACTAATGGAATACAGGGATGTTCAAGACCATACTACTTTAACTGTGGTGGGTAGAAAGGTGACCAGGGTTTCTTCTAGCTGTCCCTCATTGACTATTTATTAAAAGCATACCTTCTGTGTTCAAGAGCATTCAATAGTTCTCTAGCCCTAATGTTTTCATTATTTGGGGGACAATACCTTTTCTTTTGACAAGTCTGACTGACTATTTTCTCTCCTCTCCAGGTGCTGGAGTTCTGTGTGGCACTGAACTTGTCCTTGAGTGTATTTTGCCCAATGCAACGATTTGAAATGTTTGTACAAAAAAACTAAATGCAACTGACTGTTTCTACCGACTTGAAAAATCAGAAGAAATAGTTCAAAAAAAACCTCATCCCGTCACTGAGAGAACCGATGGATACGCTTTCAGTGATGTGTGAACACAGGTAAAAATGAAAAAGAAATAATTTTTTTGCTTTTGGAAAAAAACATTTTTCCTGGCTGAGGTTTTTTAGCTTAGCAGACTTGTAAGCACATGTTGGAGAACTTTACAAGTGTCCTTATTGTGATCAGTGAGCATCCCCAAAGAACTGAAACCTTACATTAAAACACGTAATAGGGAACAGAACATAGGAAACATGCCAACTCAGCCTCTCTTGGCATACATGGATGGACCGGATGGAATAGCCAGTACCGTTGGTGCACAGATGGAGAATAATGATGCCTCAATGACAATAAAAGGAACAAACACAATTTCTTACAAAAGCTTGCAAGAAAAGTTCCTCTTGCAAGCTGAGGGCTGCATGCCTCTGGACTGCATGTTTTGTGATGAGACTTTTAAACATCCTGAAGAACTTGGTAAGCATGTTTTAACTCAGCATAGGCCCACTCTTTGTGAACCAGCTGTCCTGCGTGTTGAGGCAGAGTATCTTAGTCCTCTAGATAAATGTCAAGTAAGAACAAATTTGCCTTCACCAAACAATGAAAAGGACAGTGAAGAACTTAGTTGTGAAGTTTGTGGACAAACATTTGATGAGGCTTTTGACGTTGAGGCACACATGAAAAAGCATAAAGATTCTTTCACATATTGGTGTAATGTATGTGGAAGAAGATTTAAAGAGCCGTGGTTCCTCAAAAATCATATGAGAACGCATACTGGAAAGCCTGGTTCTAGAAACAAGCACCAACAAGGTTCTGAAAGCCCCATAACAATAAATGAGGTGGTGCAGGAGCATGTAACTGAAAATGTAACGTCACCTTACAAAATTTGTATGGTTTGTGGTTTCCTATTTCTCAATAAAGAGACTCTAATTGAGCACAGTAAAGTACACACCAAAGAATCAGTACCCAATGGTGAAAGCCCCCAAGTGACTGGTGAACCTAAAGCAGAAGAAATGTCTCAAAGAGAGGAATTTTTGCGATTCTTGAACTTAAGACCAAACTTAGTTCCAGAAAATGACAAATCACAAAAACCTGTGAAATGGATAGCTGAACTAGATCCTTTCAACACATATCAAGCATGGCAGCTGGCTACCAAAGGTAAAGTTGCAGTTGGCCATGGCCAGATTAAAGAACCAGGGCAAGAAGGAAGTACAGACAATGATGATTCATCTTCTGATAAAGAAGAACTTGGTGAAATTTGGAATGCAAATAAAGGTAGCCAGACTGAAACTACAGGAAAGCCAAAAGTAAATAAAAACAGCAGTTACACAGGGAATGGTAACTTATCCCAAGACAAATTGAAACATCCCGGTGCTGAAGTGCCTTCTATGGAGATGGATTCTAAATTGTCCCAGAACAAAGAGAAACCAACGCACTGTTCAGAGTGTGGTAAAGCCTTCAGAACGTACCACCAGCTAGTCCTTCATTCCAGAGTACATAAGAGAGACAGGCGGACTGATGGAGAGACTTCAGCTGCTTCGAGGACGTGCTGTGGTGATGTGATTGCAAGTCTGGATGAAAATGGAGCAGGAGAACGAATAGAAGGAGGCTCTGAAGATGGATCTGAAGATGGGCTTCCAGAAACCCTTCATTTAGGTGAGTAGCATTTTGAGCACATAAGTTTGAAATAGCTGTTACTGTAGCATTTAGGAACTCTTTAGAGCCAAAGAATGCATCTCAGTTATCTTTTAGAAACTTGGCCAGAGTTATGAAATGTTATGGTGGGGGAAGGCAAAAAGCGAAATACGAGAGGGAAAGAAAGGCTCTGACACCACCATTTTGAGATATTTGAAGCTGTGTTGGGCCTTCTTGCACTTATGATTTGGGTTATGGGAGTCATTGAAATACTTTCAATAACAATCAGTTATTATTACTAGGAAAAGTCACTGTTTACTTACCCCTTCTCTTATAGCAAGATTCTTAGTTTTACTGGGTGCTTTTGAGTGTTGCAGATCCCTTCTTGTCCAGCACGTGTTTTTACAAGTAGTATTTCTGAAGGAATCATAGTAGTTTCACTTTTTTCTCCTGCATCTTGTAAGAAAGAGCAGAAAATGTCCAGTGCTCAATACCAGCAGTTGTTAAGATCCTGAGAAGTAAAGAATAATTCCAAACTTTTTCTATCAAACTGCAGGGTATATGTTTCTTTTGAACAGTACGTAATTTGAAAGCCTAAATGTCAGAACCAGCATTTTTAGATTAGTTGCGTAAGGACATGCATGCAGGCTATTAATATGTGGACATCATACACGTAAGAGAGGTATATATTTAACTCCTCTTCCTTGAAGGGCTGCTAACCGTTCTCTTTGACAGAGTAGATGGGCTCAATCTGTATGTCACCCAGGATTAATTCTGCATCTCACTATGTCTTAGAAGAACAAGTGATACTGAGTGATTCCTTAATTGAAAAAGGTTGCATGTCTGGGGACAAAAAGGAATAGTGAAAAGTCATCTTCTAGCTGATCTAGCACTCTTGTGTGTGGCATGCTTTAAGCCTGCATTTAAAGAACAAACACTTGCATAATCTCAAGAAAAGACACAATGTACAGAATGTTCTGGCACGCACAACTGACATTTCCATTTCTGGTAATGTGCAGCCCTTTATTTTGCCTCCAGTAACAAAGGAATGGAATTATTACCTAATGTTAACTTGCTTGTTTTGTTTCTCAGTGTCTCATCCTCAACTACAACAGCTTTCATTGTGAGATGCTGAGTCATGCTTATTGAGACATTATCTGGTTGTTTAAAACAGCTCTGGCTTCTCTTAGCCATAGTTAAGCCATCCTGAGCATTTCCAGTATAGAAGCTTTCCAACATGTAGGAACTTCAGGGAACCGTTTTAAGCTATCTATCATACATCCATCATCTTAGTCAAGCAAAACGTCTCCTTCCTTCTCTTCCCACTGTAGCTTTCTAGTTAGCTTTGACCTGGATATTTTACTGAAGTTGTCTTGATGTTTTTTCAATTCAACCTGCCAAAGAAATCGTGTTCATTTGAATGGTGTATTGTATTGAAGTTTTCTCCCCTTTCTTGTTAGACATTATGCTGTACTTGCCGCCCTCCAGTGGTAACTACTGCTGCTTACACTTGAGTGGAACCAGTTTTTAATCTGTGAATTTGTTCCTTGAATACATGTTTCACAGAATAGCAGCCCCTGTCACTTTCCTATTCCCATGTTTGTCAAAGCTTAAGCATTAATGCTTCTGGTGAAAGATTACTCATTAAATCGAAGGATGTTGTTACACAGGCACGACACTCCATTGATTAGCACAGCAATAATAATATTACAATTAATAAGAAAATCCATCTTCCTCCCTGCCTTCCTTCCCCAAAACACCTCCCTGTGTTTTGGCATGGTGTGCAGAGCAGGTTTACGATCTGAATCACCATGCTCACACTTACTAATTCAAGCATTCCCTTTAATAAAAAAATACAGTTTATAACATGTATGAATTTTTGAGGTGGGTCATTCTCCATCAAGTTCCTGTAGGTCAGTAAAGATAATTTTTCTTTTACTACTTTGACACCTAGTTTTGCGTCTTGTTTGTTCTCTGGGGCTTCTTCATTACAGTCGCTAACAGCAGTGTTGCTTGACCCAGACAGAAGCCTTTTTAACTCTTTTGCTCTTTGATTGCTAAGTGTGCAGAAGTACAGAACAAAAGATGCTTGTAGACTGTAGGAGTTGACAACAGTTCATCATTCCTTAAGAAAGACAGTTAAGATACTTACTTACAGTTTTAAATGAGACTCCAAATTTGCGTTTGCTCTTCATAATATAGCTATATTTTCTCCCAAAGATAAAAATGAAGATGGTTTGGAAAGAGCAAAAGTTAAAAACCTTGGAGCCTCCAGAGAATGCAGCTATTGTGGAAAGTATTTTCGCTCAAATTATTACCTCAATATTCATCTCAGAACTCATACAGGTAAATGGGCTTCATCTTTGTGGGAGGGGAAGGAAGTCTGCTGAATCCAGTTGGATGGAATGTTTGGTTTTGCTTAAGAAAAACAGAAGTTGCCTTCGAAATTATTGATATTAAGAAAAAAGTTTTCTCCGATGCTAAAAAAAAAAAATAATTGAAATTTCCTAGAAGGCATTAATTATTTACGTAAGTGTAAATATTTTTGAATAGGGCTAGTTACATTAAGTACTGTTAAGAATACAATGTATTTTAAAACTTTAATTCTTTCGGCTTTTAGCAGTCTAGCAAAAAGTTGGTGTTTGTGTTTTGGGGTTTTTTAATGTGTATTTTTTTTTGTTTTGTTTTTTAAAAAAAACCTATTTCCCAAGTACTACGTTGATTGTCTGCCAGTTCCTGCTACCTGGGAAAAAACTATGTCCATTTTTCAGTTCAGCTTTTTGTTTTCCATAGCCAGGCAAACTCTTTCTACTTCTGTTAATGTATGTCCCTGTTTCTTTTGAAACAGCTCTATTTATAGATGAACTGTAACATTTGTGTTGTTGAATAGCGTACTTGTGGTATGATCAAGGGCTACAAATTGTTGGAGTTGACCCACGGCTATACTTCTTGCTTATCTCTGCCAAACATATTGTCAGCTACCATCTCCATACATAGCCAGTGTGTGGAAAACATCTTCATCGTAGCCAGAAGATGTCACTGTAGTTAGGAAAAGCAGTAAGATGTAGTTGTTTAAATGATTTAGATGAGTTTGAGAATTATGAGTATGTGGAAGGGGAAAGAAAAATCTATTTTACTGTTTTGCGGTCTACATTATTCCCTTGTCTTTAATTATATTAAAAACTTCAAATCAAATTGTATCAAATTTATTTACTGATAAAACTGTGTTTCAGGTGAAAAACCGTACAAATGTGAATTCTGTGAGTATGCAGCAGCACAGAAAACTTCACTGAGGTATCATTTAGAGAGGCATCACAAGGACAAGCAAGCTGATAGTGCACCAGACGTGAAAAGTGACAGCAAAGTTTCATTACAGAGTCAGGAGACGGAGCTCTTGCTGGCTGCTGATGGTGCTCAAGAAACCAAAAATTCGAAGAGGCTTTTTGATTGTGCCAAAGATGCTGAGGGCTGCCGACCTACCAAGCAGCAAAAGGAAGTTCTGTCCTTGAACAATGCAATAGGCAGCACAGTCCTTTTAAAAATGAAAAATAATTCTAGGGAATTGAACAAAGGTTCCGTTTGTAACAATTCAAACAAAATACATGAGAATGTGTCCACTCCTTACCCGGAAAAACTAAAGGCTGAGAAGGAAACAAAGGAAGCTCAGCCCAATGTTCCTCATAAAAGAGAGAGAGAGGCTTCTGTGGCATCAGAGGGAGATGACGTCCAGTATGTTTGTGCTTTAAAGGATGGAAAAAATGTGAATGATGTGCGAGAGTGCACTGAAAACTACAAACACAAACCTATGGTGGACTCTCAAGAAAAACCCTTGAACTTATCTATTGGGACTTCACAAGAATGTTCAGTGGTTTCAACTAGAGGCATGCTAGCACCCAGCACCTGTCCGTTTTGTACGTACAGAACATTTTACCCGGAAGTCCTAATGATGCACCAGAGGCTGATGCACAAATATAATCCTGACACTGTTAACAAAAATGGCTATAGAAGCAAGGCTCCAGCTAAAGCCAGACGCACTGGATGCCCTCCAGCTCTGCTTGGTAAAGATGTGCTTCCTCTGCCTTTTAATTCTAATAAAAGCAAGGCTTCCCCATCTACACAGCAAAAACTGTTGCAAACGGGGAAAGCTAAACAATGTCACCCTCCACAGAGCAAAGTCCCTCTCTTTTCAGTGACTGACTCAAGCAGCACAGCCCCAAGTAACCTCAAGTTTCATAAACAGCAAAGTAATATCGGAGCTCAGGCAAATAACTATAGACAACCTCAGCAAGAAATGCACTCCAGTTCCAGTATCTCTCCGGTATTGGACAGAGTAAAAAGATCTGAATCTAAAGTAAAAGCGCTAAGTGTCCCAGTGTCTCAATCTGGTCTAGTAAGCAGCAGTATGAATGGGGCTGTTGACTCTCACCTAAATGAATCTGCCTGGTCTTGTCATCGAGGAAGAGACTATCTTTGTAGTAAATCTGTGAGCAATGTAAATCTAGACTATGGTGAAACGCCCTCTAAACGAATGAAACCTAATCTGTTAGCTATTGACCATATTGACTCTCCAATGGCTAATTACAGAAGATACGAAATGAGCAGATTTCGTGTTGCAAACAGATATGCAAATCTGCTACCTCAGGAATGTTCTCGCACCAAACCTGCATCCTCTGTTTTGCCAACCAAACAAGGGCTTCTGAATTCAGACGATGTTGATCCTCCTAATGTATTGACTGTTCTCAAACCTTATGAGCCATATAGCTCTGGATCACTTTACAGTTCTTGTGGATCTAGCAATGGCCAAGTAACCAGCTCTACAGTAGAAGGTACTGTATCTCCTTCCTCGTTAAATGTCTTACACCATTACAAAGGAAGGTGAATGAAATATAAATAAGTGTATACTCACCTTGAAACAGAAAAAATAAAGCTGTACTTAGCATTTCACCAAGTCCAGTCAATGCTTGGTTTTTAAATTTAAAATCCAGGCTAAGCAAACTCCTGGCTTGGAGAATTAGGCATGGAAGTTCTGAATTTTAAAGGAGGGATTTAAAGTTCCTCAAGTTCCCTCTTCCCTCCTGCCATGCGTCTCTGATAGCAAACATGTATTGTTTGCTCATCAGAGCACTCCAGACATGCTAACTAATCCAGGATATGGAATGAGCCTTTCTGCTTAATATACATGAAGTCTTGGACCATCTGGAATAATAATAAAACCACTTACAAAAAAAAAAAAAAAAAAGCTGTCATGGACAATTGTTCCCTTCAATTGCAGAAAAGGATGTATTATTACAAATCATAAAACTGATTTAAATCTTGTACCTCTGTTGTTCAATGGGTTTTTATAATTTTTACTTTTAATAGGAACAGAACTGTTTGTTAAATGGAGACAACATATTTTCTGCTATTCTAATTATGGTGTCTCATTGCGCTAAGTAGTAATGCTTTGTGGAAAATTCTGGGCCTAGCAGATAAATGTTTTTTGATGTATTTGGAAGGCTTGGGTACTTTCATGAAATACATGCTTTTTGCCTTTTGTTCTTAGTCAACATTTTCATAACTTAGCAGGAGGCCAAGATTAAAAGGTGCTAGGTGATATTTAATCAGTTGTCTATTTGTAGAAGGTGGTATTTATGACTTTGAGCTGAGGTCAGTATGGACTTAGCTATAAATATAGGACTTTGAATTTTGAAATGAAGACCCTATTATAAAAATGAATAGTGTGTGTGTGCTGTGTAGTCTTAAAGTCTCTGCTAAGTTCTTAAACTCTGTGAATACTCCCATTCTCTGGAAGCAGTAAGATTAGTCTTGTGAAGTAGTCTGGGTTCATAACAAGCAGGGGTGTGTTACCTTAGGTCACAGCAAACTGCAAATACTAAATCTGCATTTAGTTATGTGGCAAAAAATGTATTCGCTAACTCTGTTCTGGTTTTTGTTTGCTTGTTTTAAGGTTGTGGGCTTCATAAATATTCAGGCTTGCTAGTGGGTTATGCAAGGATGAAGGAAAGTGTTAGAGTTCTGTTTCCAGTCTGGGTAGGGAGTGGATAAAGGAAAAGCCAGCATCACAGTTGACTCACTGAAGTGGTTGTGAAATGGAGTTAATTCCTAGTTTCATGAAGACTGTTGTCTGTGTACCGTGAACTGTACCATGAATTGCAATGAGGAATGTAAAATGGGCACTAGGTTATGCATAGAATGCAGAGGGACGGGCAGAAGGACAAATGTTGTTGCTGTGTTTTGATTCCCAGTGATCTGAGAGAATAGAATACATACAGGGTATTTTTTTTTTTTGAGCACAGAAGTCATTCCTGCAGTTGTGGAATTTACAGTGCTTTGCAAGACTTTTTTTTTTTTTTTTTTTTAATTGATGGTTGATAGCAGCTAAGAGGTTAATGTGTGATCCCCACATTTGGTGGAGGACATGACTGTCCTTAGGGACTAACCCATGTTAATTTGCACTGACCAAGGACTTGCGCTTCATGACATTGCTATCTGTTGAGCAGATAGAACATTCTGGATTTTGAGGGAATGCTCTTGATGTTGTATAAAACCCTATTAATTTTCATGAAAACAGGAAGGGGAAAGTTAAAAAGTCTTTCGCCTTCAACCAGCTAGACAAGAGTAGTCTGTACCCCAAGGACTAGATGGTGGGCAGTGTCTTGCTCCTTTCCAGCGTTACTGCATGGTGGGGATAGGGAAATTCTCTTATTTTGCTAGTTGCCTTAGTGAGGTTAGCCTATTGAGGTGGCAGTTGATGCAATACTATTTTTAAACAATGACTTAATTGGAATCCACCGTGTTCTTCTTTTGAAAACTCCACCTGTCTGCCAGAAAAATCTGTGGTAGGCTTTTCTTCCCCTTCTTTGGTACAAGCCTGGAGACAGTAGCCTGTAGTCAAGAACTTTCTACTGTTTCTTGTTCTTTAGAGCTCTCAAAACTATGGCTGCAACTAATTTGATGGTATTGTTGTCATGGAAATAAAGATTTCATTGTTTGTTACACAGTGCTGTCTCAGGACAAGAAAAGCAACTTTTTATGGCTGTTACCTACATTGGAAAGACTTGTGAAACAAGACCCCCCTCTGTGGGTTTTCTTAGCAACTTCAATAAAAGCCCCATGCAATAAAATGTAGGCTTTTAAAGCTAATTTCCTAGTTTTCCAACCGTTCTGCTCAGAAGTACCCAACCCAAACCTTGACAGTTGTTTGAGAGGGTGGAGGGTAGCAGACAGGTGAACTTCTCAGCATTGGAGTTTTAATGTGGGCGGAAACAGTGAAGATGAAAGTTTCTGCAACTTTTTTTTTTTTTTTTAAAAAAGCTGAAGTATGACTGTTTATCTGAGAGTTGCAACTCCTCAGAGATGTATTTTGTAAGATATCATATGCAAAGTACTGCAGGTATAGACCTGCAGGTTTCTGTAGTCTTTTTATTGAACTCTGGTGATATTATAAAACATGATGTCAAAACCTTTTTTAAGGGCCTGTCTGCCTTGTGGCAATATTATTTAGGTCCTATGAACATGTTATGTTGCATGTTAAATGCTGGATCAAGTTGTCATGAGAATATGTTCCACTTGGCAAACTTGATTAAAGCGTGATGCCTTCCGTTACTGCTTGTAAGCTCTGCCATTCTGTGTTGCCCTGAAGAGACAGAAACATTCTGAAACCACTCAGTTTGTGTTATTTTCAAATTAGCTGCCTCTGCAATGGCAACATGCTATCAAGGATAACCTGTTGGCTGATTGATCTGGCAGAGGCTGCAAATTAAAGACAATTGCTCATGACACACTCCAATGGCTTCGTAGATTCTCTTGAAATATTAATTTAGCTTTGCCATTTTAATTTAATTAAAGCTTGCTAGGTTTTTTCAATGCTGCATTTAAAGCTTTCATGGAATATGGATGGCAGTTGGGCTTTTTGTATCCTGTGGGAGTAATGATTCCTGACTTTTTTTCCCTTAATTTTATGAAGTGTTTTTGGCTGCTTGCTTAAGCTAGTAAGACTTAGTATGGAACAGGCATTGATTTCACATATATAAATCTGAATTCATGGTCTCAGATAAACATGAAATTACCTGTATACTAGACTGAAAATTGCTTAACAAAGGTCTTCAAGTAAATGTATATTAACACTCTTTAAAGTGTCACAATTGCCTATGATGGCAATAATGTAGTATACCTGGTTTCCCTGTCAAATACTCATATTGAAAAAATTCAAATTTCAAACATACCAAAACTGGGTATGTAGACATCATTCTATAGAATGTACTGCAGCACTTAAGTCTTCTTAAAATGAAACCTGCTGTATGATGAGTTAAGCAAAGATATTTTTCTTGCAAATGAGCAAAATCTGGAGAGACGGACATCACGTGTACAGCTTAGAACAAAGCTGTTAAATTAATATTTGTCATTCCTCTTGTATTTGCTCTGGATACTGAATTTCATATAATATTTTAATAGGACTAAGGATATCTTGTCTTGGGCCCTGCACATGAGATGATTTGTGGTAGCATCTGTGGGATTCTGGATGCTAACATAGACCTGCTCACAACTGAATGTCTGACCAATTAGATTAGCAGGAAATAATTCTAACTCCTCTAAATTTATTTTTGTCAGGAAAGAGATCAGTGTCATACCAACACTTATCTAGCAGCGTGCTACAAAAGCGAAGTTATGAAAGTTTCATTGGTAATGCACACTTTCGACCAAGTGACAAGAAGACTTGATCATTTACTTCAAGAAATGGTAAACAAACCTTTTGAACCTATTGTTACTTAAATGTTGCATTATGTACTCATAACATCAAAGGTTTCTGCATAGCATGATGAGAGGTTATGAAAGTCTGAACCAGAACAGCTGAAAATACAAACTCCCCCTTTCTTACGAACTGAACCAAATACTGGTGTAGCAGCATTAGTTATTTTGAATAGTGGTAACGGCTTGTATAAACAGTACGTAGATGCACCTTTTCTAAAAGAAATGGAAGGGCTAACAGTAGATTAATATATTAATTAGTTACAATACCAGTGGGAAGTGTTCAACGAAAGGGCTTTCCCCTTAAGTCAGTACGTGGGGGTGGGGGAACATTGCGTGGAGAACTATAAATGAGAGGAAGTGCCTGTTATCACAGTTCGTGAATCCTATGAGAGGTTATGTCGGTTAGTCCTTCCTGAAAATGTAGACATTACTCATTTTACAACTTCTGAAGATTGTGAGGATTGCCTTAAACAACAAGACTCTTTTTGGTGGATTATTTCATAGGGAAGTAAGGGTTTCCCGATAGCTCCGTGACAGTTTATCTTTGTGTACTGGAGAGGTTGTTCCAAATAGTTTTTCCTTTGTTTGACTGAGGGGTGGGTGTAGCCTCTTGGAGAAACAGGTCAAGTGAAAAGAATTAGCCTGGTGTTCTGAATTCCTGTGCTTCATCTCTTCTGTAGCTATATCTCAGAACTTAACAACCCCATTGTGTTTGCAACATTCTTAGCTGCTAAGGAGATAAGTGCTCTATAAGACTATAAATAAATATGTCTGTATGCTGTTTTTCAAACCCAGAGCTACAGATAGTTTTCCTCATTCAAATTTAAGATGATGTGTCTTGAATGCTATAGCACCTGGATCAGCATGCACTACTTTATGGAAAGATTTTACATATCTGGGGAGCAGAGCGCTCTCATATCTAGTTGACAGCTTTTAAAATACTTCACTTTATTTCTTGATATTCTTCTAATCTTTCTGCTTTTATTGTCCCCCCAGTAAGCATATTTTTGTCTAGTTCTGCTTTTTAAAGCGAACTCAATTTCCTGCCTGTATTTCTACTTGGGGCTTGAGTATCTTAAAAAATAGACTTAATTGCCAGCTTTTATTTGGCAGATAGAAGACACAGGCCTTATAGGGCAATATCAGTTTCTAAATACACTTATGTCAGGGTGTGGAAGAAATTCCCTTTATGTTTTAAAGATACAACAAAAATGGGTTGTACTGTTTTATAGTTGTATACTACAAAGCTATTTTTCTTTTTTCTTTTTTCCCTTAGGTCTAAGGACACAAGTGCATGTTCTATGGAGTTATACCTGCAGTTCATCCCTTGAGGAAAAATGAATGGTGAAAGCTACTGAACTAAGCTGTGATTGTACTGTATATAAAAACACTACAGTTTTATAATACTGGTTCTGTTAACATTTTGTACCAAATAGCCATAAAAAGTAGTCTAAACAATTGGGTTATGAAGGTGTGTGGAGAATGTATATCTTGACATTGACTTTTGAGTATTTTTCACTAGAATTAATTGACCAAATATTAGGTAGGAATTATATTTTTACATACTTGAGCGCTGCTGAAGAGTTTCTCTTGGAAAGAATATATTGCACCTCAGGTAAACTGTAAATACTGAAGTTGAAATCCTGTTGGCTTAATGCTCCTTTTCCATAAAGGTGAAAGTTTCTCATCTGTTTTTTCTGTTGAACTATGTTAGTTTTTTAAAACAACTTCCAAATAAACTGTTTGAAACTGTCCAGTTTATAAATGTTGTGAACATCAAAGCAGTGGTGCTGACATTATGGTGATCTGCCTTGTATATGTTAGGACCATAATGTGTTGGAGGGATCTGTTTCCCTGGGGTTGTTTCCAGCATATTTTTAAATGCAAGGATGAGGCAATACTTGACATTTGGATTTCAGTGCGGTGTTCCTGAAATACAGTTGGATTCTTTTCTTGGCATTGGTTGCTGTTCTTCAGAGAAGCCTCTTAAACGAACATCTCTACCAACATACAATCTTCTACAGCAGAAAATACCTAGGACTTGCATGAGAAACGATACTAATCTAAATGTTTCAGATGTTTAGTTTTGTACTAAACTCAATAGTTACATTTAGAGGAAAACTACTTTGCACCTTTGTCCAAACTGTAAAGTCACCAACAGACTTGCAATATGAATATGGGATCTACAGACTTCGAAAGGGATGTGACTATGGTGTAGCCTGCTTGACTGTGCTTGGAAGCTTCTTGATGTCAAGTTTTAGCATCTACTGGGTGTTCAAAATTAGTGAGAAATAACCTGTTAATGGGAGAATATCTCCTTTTATTTTTTTGTGAGGACAACAAGAGTTTTTTCTAATGCACATGCAGTTTAATTTTTGCAAAGGGAAGATGGCCAGTTACCAGCCAGTAAAGCAGAGTTGTTGCATATTTTGACTTGTGTTCCTAGTTGCTTCTCATAAAGCCTGTAGTTAAGAGTTAATTTCTTCTGTACCTGGCTTTGACTTCCATATATTTTAGTAAAACAAAAAATGAAATATTTTGCACTGTTCATTTTGCTCTCGTCCCTCGTACAGCAAATGTAAAATAGCAAAACCTAGAAACTCTTGTTTTTTCATTATGCAACTTGAGATGTTCCAGTTGTATGTCTTAGTTCCTGTATATGGGACCTATTTTTAATGTCTCTGTAAACTGGCGATGTAATGAAGTGCTGTGTATCAGGAAATTGTACACTATTTACCTGTTTTCCTGTTCATAAGCTGAGCCATATGTACATAATCTAGATTTTTGTTTTCCTAGTTTTGCACTTTTATAGCCTATTTTTTGAAGATGAATTCACTTGGAAAATGGTTAATCTATTTTTTTGCGTGATCTTTCAATGAGTCTTATAGAATGCATGCTGTAACTATCATCTGTGTACCTTATGGGGTTCTGTGATTAAAATGTGCGGGGCTGGTTTTTAAGATGTTTCAGCAGACAGACCTAAGACTTGTTTGTTTTTAATCTCCCTTCATGCTGGTACAGTTTCCCTCAAGGCTTGTTTTTGGTAGGTATCTTGGGGTTGGAATGGAAAAACGAACACGACTATTTCATGGCAGCACAGCCCTGTACTTCAGAATACACTTTGCCCATCAGTATTAACTATTGGGATACTACTGGTTTTGTATGTTTCTTTGGAAATAACAGTGCATATATGGAGGTACAAATTGTTGATTTTTTTTGGTTTATGTATTTATTTCATTCCATTTTGTTTTATTTTAATTGTTGAAACCGGAAGTCGACAAGCAATAGGCACACATTACTCATTTAATTTATGATGTATTTCACTTTAGTTGTGTGTATTATTACATGTTGATGTAAATATAGACTTGGTGTTTTGCAAAACTGGTTTCTGTGTCTTGCTTTTAAAGCTTTAAATGAGTTGCCTGGAATTTCATATTCACTTGACCTTTTGTCGTACTCGCACCGCTGGGGGAGGAGGAAGAAGGAGAACCTGCCAATAACCAAAACCCAATTCATGCCCTGTTCAGTTGCTTAAATGAAAATACTGAGTCACTTCCCAGAATATCTGTCTGTGAAGCTTAAGAGCAAAACTCGTAAAATAATGAAGAAACCTTTTGTTTCTTTTCAGTTATTTTCCTTCAAGAAGGGAAATTGAGTTATTGTATGCATTCTTTCTGGTAGGAAGATTATGAGGGGAGCATGGATATTTTTTTTGTTCGTGTGGCTTCAGGATCTGTATAAGCTTAAACTATCTTTGAAACCAAATGGGTTCTGAAAAGTTTCTAGGTCTGGTGTGTTCTTGGACCTCAACTTCAGGTGTCAGACCTCCCCAACACCTCTGACCTTATCTCAAAACTAGATTATGAGCTTGGAAGACGGCTAGAAAAGACTTGTCAAAGGCAACTCATCTTTGAGAGAAAGGGAGCTCATCAGATGAGATCTGCAATGTAAATCAACCATATTTAAGAGCACTTAATGTGAGTGACCACAGCTTCATTGACATCGCAGGTTAAGCTTTTGATTCTGGTGCTAGGCTGGCACTTGTTGCCATGGTAAGGCTTGCAGTAGTAGGTTAGACTAGTTTCTTAAGTGAAGCTTTTCTCCTCCCCAACAGCACTGCTTTTAAAATGGGAGCTTAAGAACAAAATGATGTGATGTGTGGATATGTCACTTGCTCTGCAAACAGCAAGTTCTCACAGTGCCTGTGGTGCACAAATGAGGGGTCTTGGAGTCTTGCTACTGCAGATGGGCTTCGGGTACCAGGACTATCAAGGAATTTCTGTGCAGTGCTGAATGACAACATGGTAGACAGGGTGCAAGAAATACGTGTGAGCTTTGCAAGTCATCTTTACTATAAACCGTGGCTTTCCTTTGGTGCCTCTTAGGAGTGTTAAGGGTCGTTCTTTGTGCCTTTAGTGTTCCGGATAAGCTAGACTGACTTAGAGACAATAGATGTCTGTTCCAATGACTTTAGCTATCATATTTAGATGCCTACGTTGTCATACCAATTTGTGAGCTATGCAAAGTCAAATTAAAGAGCAGATCTCACTAAGTGACTGAGAGGGAGGTGTCAAAGGTACGGAACCAGTGCAAGGTTATTCAGCTGAAGACTGAGAAGGCTTTTTGGCTTCAAGTCTCTTGCATCTTCAAGCAGTGTGGGATTTTGGAGTTGTTTTTTTTCAGTGTTACCGTATCTGTTTTGTCATATAATTGGTTTCTCAGTTGTGAGCTACATTAGTACTGCTAAAACTTTTTTCCCCGCCATTCCTTTGTTATTCCTAGCCTATGCTGGGCTAATTCAAAGATCGAGGCTCTCTGGAGAGAAGGCCAAAACAAAAAAGAAATGGAGCCAGTGAATAAATCTAGGGTGTCTTCTCACTGTTGGTGTTGATCCAGCTGCCCTAGTTGAGGTGCTGGTGAGATGTGCTCCTGGCTCTGTGGTCTGCTGTGGTTTCTACCCCCCTCATGCCAGTGAAGCCCTGTGATAACGGGTTTGCGGGACAGCCTGCAGGGTGCCAGGTCCCGTTTGTTGTCTCCAAGCAGGCTATCGGAGGACTTCAGGTACTATCTAGAAAGCTGGGAGGCGTGACTAAAATACAGTGTTTCTCTACAGTGACTGTGACTGGCCAGATCAGCATTATAAACACTTGTTTGAGGCATCTTCTTCCTATGCTTTTAATGAATTACCAGTTAAGATACATAGTCAGACTACTGTATGTCTTGAAATTATGAAGAAGCAAAACTCATTTTCTCTTATGAGGAAGATCTAATATTAAATCACAAAACAGTTTCTTCTTCCCCTTTGTGGAAGAGGAAAATATGCGAGTGTGTTACTGAGCAGATTTCTCTGTTCATTTGCACACACTTAAGAAAAGTGCATTTAATTAGGATTAGCAAGTCTCTCAATTGCAGATGGTTCTCAGGGGAAAAAATAGTTAAGAGTACATTCATGACATTAAAATCAGTACATTTAATTCAATTTCATCTTAATATTAATTCATAACATCTAAAGTAGTAGTTCCTACAGAAGATACTCATATGACTTAGGATTACTGGGGAAAATGAGATCTAGCATTTCCAAACATGCTACAGCATGATTACCATGTGTAATTATGCAGATTGAGTAACTACATGCTAATTACAAGAGCGCCCATTTTGACATGTGTTGTTATCTGTATCAAGGGTCTGTTACCTGATACGCAGTTTTATGTAGTTTGGAGTTCGTCGTCGATAGCTCCTGAGTCCAGTACGGGGTCTCATGTGAAACACTGCAAAAATCAGTAGCTGCTGGTGTGTGACTCCAGGGACAGCAGGCTGCGGGGCCGAGCATGGCGTTACAAAGCAACAAATGCTCTGGTTTAACACTTCTCTGACCGCCATGTTGGCCTCTGTTCTGACCACAGGCCTGAAAGCATGCTATCTCTTTCTTTAAAGAGTTAACTGTAAAGGTGTGGTATCTTCTACAGATCATCCGTACTTGATCTTGTTATTGGCTGTAGTTGAACTGAGCCTGATCTGCTTAGGGCAGATACAGCAGCTTCATGTTCCTTCTGTATGAAAGCAAAGTAACATCCTTAGCTCTGGACCAAGCTGGATGCTCCTGCAGGATAACGAAGCTGGGCACTGGGGCACTCTGGGCTCTGGTACTACCGCTCCCTCTTTGGAAGTTTCCTCCCTTTGTTTCCACTGAGGTCGTCCCTAGCTCCCTACA